GAGAGCTTGCAAATACGCGATTGTTTAGATTTATTTGTGAGCTAGGCCTATCAATGAACGTAACTTGAACAGTATTTACGTCACGGTCGAAGAAATACACCGTTTCCGGCTTTGTCAAGTAAGCTGAACTTTGCATTATTTTTACCGAATAATAAATAAAAAAAATAAAACCTTTACAACAATATTATTTTTTAACTCCACCTGGTGGTACAGACAATTATTTCCCTCAAGACACAAAATGATATCCGTAAGAATTCTGTTGCTGAACTTCTAATTACCCTGATGCCATCAGTGGGACTTGTTTTTTTAAAGGCCTAAATCAAACAATTCGGATTATTAAGTTTGTTTGTTTGTTTTTGAATTTCGCGCAAAGCTACACGAGGGCTATCTGCACTAGCCGTCCCTAATTTATCAGTGTAAGACTAGAGGGAAGGCAGCTAGTCATCACCGCCAACTCTTGGGCTACTCTTTAACCAACGAATAGTGGGATTGACCCTCACATTATAACGCCCCCACGGCTGAAAGGGGCGAGCATGCTTGGTGGGACGGGGATTCGAACCCGCGACCCTCAGATTGCGAGTCGAGCGCCTTGTGATTATTATTAAGTATAAAATTTCATCTGTAATATCATTAGATAAACTGCACTATTCTTATATTCATATTTAGCACCGTTCTTAATACAATCCCAAATCTCTCTCTACGTATGTTGATTCAACATATTGTTACTTGTCATTTGTCCTATTTAGTTTTTTTAATTTTCTCCCCCCCTTTTTTTTGATAATCTGCCAGTTAATGTAAAATATGATAAATTAAAATGATTAATATTTTCCTGATTGATATAAATATAAAATGGTGTGATATCAGATTTATACAAAGTAGAACTGTACAGTTTACAAAATGTAAATCAGTGAAAACAAACACATTTCAAAACTCAGATTGAGAATGAATTCACTGTGGGACGAGATAAAGACGAATAAAATCCTTCTTGTTTAAGTACGATTTATCATAGATGTATAAAAGCATGCTCCAACTTTCTGTATATCAGATGTTAGGATTAAACGAAAGCTTGCTTAAAGCCAATCGAAGGCCAGACTTGATCTTGTAGAGATTAGCCAGACATGCTCTCATTACAGAGCAAGTCCTCTCTAGCTGATGTGAACCCCAGTCTTTCTTGTCGTCCTAAGCTGTTCGTTTACTTTACTAAAACTGAACTTCCAGATGGTGTTTACTACTTTAGGTCATGTTGTAGTTTTAACATAATAATTCTTCATCAAACAAAGTATGTTGTCAACAATAAGGGAGACGAAGCTGCAGAGAAACTAAGATCCAAACTTACAAATAAAATTGATTTTTGAAAGTTACAATCTTGACCACAATTCTCAATGTTAATGATAAATATTTATATAAAAAAGCCACTCTTTAGTGCTTGTGGTTAAATTCTTTGTGAATATTCGTTCATGTACTGGAATCTGAAAAGACAACAACTCTGAAGCTGTATTTTATGATGCTACAAACACTTCTTTACATAAGCTAAGTTTGCTTGATTGTGATATTTTAGGGGAGAAGGAATGACAAGGAAAGAGAAGGTTTAGGTTTATGAGTTAACTAGCAAAAGTACCCGGCTTTGCACGGGTTATTAGATTAATATATTTTAGCAAGTGCATAAAATTTATCATGAAAGTAAAAAACATCAATTCAATTTCAAACTTAAATCGTTTCTGAATTAAGCTATTTTCTATTATATCACCAATGTTTTAAATAAAAAACGAACCTCTTTAAACAACGCAGACTCGGAACTAAAAAATCAACAAATGTTTTTCCAGTTTTGTTGTTTATACATTTCATTTTGCACCTTCGGTACATAGACTAACAATAATATTAGGTTATACTTTTGCTGCTGAGCGACATGACATAAAAGTCATTGTTGGAACGCATTGTTACTAAAACGCACTGGGTTTTCTATATTTTAGAAGTTGTTAATCTAACTGATACACAACAGCATATATTATGGGGGTGCGCATGCGCGTACGCAAGTGAATAAAATAAATAATAATACCCAGGTCCACACCCTCAGGATCCACTTAGTATATGTGCAAAATTTCAGGTTTCTTGGTCCTTTCCTGTTGGAGCTATGGCGGTCATACACACAGAGACACGCTCTCCCTTTTATTATTATAGATGGCTTATAACTGGACGCAGTGTTCGCTGTTCGTATATAAGAAAAGGCAGTCATGTTGCCATGAATCTAGGCGTAGCTGCCTATGTAGTAAAGGGCTGTGTTCTTACTTTATATTCTGAACGTTATAAGAATATGGAGTAATAAGTTCGACTTCTGTTTCCATGTTAGTGGGTGGATTAAAATCGTCATTAGAAATAGGGACGATGTCGTTATTGTCGTTTTAAAGATAAACACTTCCCCTCAGTGGCACAGCGGTATGTCTACGGACTTACAACGCTAGAAACCGGGTTTCGATACCCGTGTTGGGTAGAGCACAGACAGCCCATTGTGTAGCTTTGGGCTAAATATGGAAGAAGACTAGCAGTAGCTTAAGCTGCTTAAGAATCGGATAATTTTTTCAACTTTAAGCAGTCGCTGAAGGACACGAACCACTAATTACTATACGTTATTAACATTCGTGTTTGGGAAAACATGTTCTTAAAACAAGCTTTTTTGTGTGTAATCACGTGCGCAAACCGTTATCGGTCCTGGTTGTCAACTTATTGTTATAGCGGATAATGTCTATGGGAATAGCACCCAAATGTGTTGGGTTTATCCCATCTATCAGACAATATCCAAACGCCGAGGTCAATCTAGTCAGCCCTGATGGAAAATCTTAAAAAAAACAAAAAACAAATCATCAACCAAATAAAGGTAAGAAACTGAGTGCTTACACCCACAACGTCTCAGCTTCTACTGTCTTTCACTGTGTAACTAATCAATAGGTTATAAGCTATATATATATATATCCCAGAAGGATCCGCGCGAAATTCAATGAACGTGGTTTGAGTCAAGAATGCAAATGCTTTGCGATTGTTGGAATGATTTACAAAATTTTACGTTTCAATAATTTACAACGCTAACTTTAGGGGTTCGATTCCCCTCGGTGGACATAGCAGATGGCCCGATGTAGCTTGGCTCTATAAACAAACAAACAAAAAACACGTACACGGTAATTTATCTGACGTACCTAAACTATTCGTCCTAAATATGCAAAGTGATAAAACAAAGAAGACAAAAGCAACGGTGCCAAAACGTTGCATCGTTCCAATTAACGATAATACGTTACATACTATTACACTTCTACGTGTCCATTTTTGTAAACACCAGGGCTCGCTGCAGTAGCACGAGTATGACTGCGAAGTTAATGTTAGTGTGATTTTTTTTTTATCTTAGATCAATGGGGTTTCTTCGTTTCTCTATTGTCCCCTCGTTTTTTGGGGTAGACCCAAAATAAAAAAATAAGGAGACTTAACATCCAATTATTTGAGCAGCATCAAGAAAGGACCTTCACTTGCCGGTCCGGCATGGCCAGGTGGTCAGGGCGTTCGACTCGCAATCTGAGGGTCGCGGGTTCGAATCCCCGTCACACCAAACATGCTCGCCCTTTCAGCCGTGAGGGCGTTATAATGTGACGGTCAATCCCACTATTCGTTGGTAAAAGAGTTGGCGGTGGGTGGTGATGACTAGCTGCCTTCCCTCTAGTCTTACACTGCTAAATTAGGGACGGCTAGCGCAGATAGCCCTCGTGTAGCTTTGCACGAAATTCAAAAAACAAACAAACCTTCACTTGCCACAAACGGAATTAAAAGTCTCAATGGCACATGTCTTAAAGAGAAAAAGAGTCAATGTTTAAAAGTACATAATAATAATTTAAAGACGAGACTGTCCCCAGTCTGTATAAAGATAAAATACCGTGAGAATGGGAACACTCAGAGATCTATGTTATTGAAAAATTACACAAGTGTCATACTAATATTAATTGCAAGTCTCGAACAAAAGGTCCTCTGATGGGACAGACTTACAAAGCTAAAATCTGGGGTTCGATTCCTCGCGATCGATATATCAGATAAACTAATGTAAAAAGGAAAGAAACTCGTCTGAGACAAACAAACAAACAAGTCATAAACATTGATGCACCTGCCATCTGGTGATGAGAAGTTTAATACCATCATTTACAAATATGTAAAAGTTCAACGTCTTTGATTTCAATAAAAAGCTTTTTTTTAATAAGTTAAATTTGAAACTAACCAAATCTATTCATGACTAGCTATAAACAGACTTTAGAAAACAATTTAGGCTTAACTTTTAATTGGTTCATTCATTAATCGATAATCCACTGATTAGTTTTATTTTCCTTGCTGGTAGTTTAAGTTATAATTGTGATTATTATTTTCAACGTTATTAGTAGTTTAGATTAGGAACAGTGGGTGTTATATTTAACCTTGTTAGTAGTTTAGATTAGGAACAGTTGGTGTTATGTTTAACCTTGTTAGTAGTTTAAATCACGAACAGTGGGTGTCATTTTTAACCTTGTTAGTAGTTTAGATTAGGAACAGTGGGTGTTATATTTAACCTTATTAGTAGTTTAGATCAGGAACAGTGGGTGTTATTTTCAACTTTGTTAGTAGTTTAGATCACGAACAGTGGGTGTTATTTTTAACCTTGTTAGTAGTTTAGATTAGGAACAGTTGGTGTTATTTTCAACTTTGTTAGTAGCTTAGATTAGGAACAGTGGGTGTGATTTTCAACTTTGTTAGTAGTTTAGATTAGGAACAGTTGGTGTTATTTTCAACTTTGTTAGTAGTTTAGATTAGGAACAGTAGGTGTTATTTTCAACTTTGTTAGTAACTTAGATTAGAAACAGTGGGTGTTATTTACAACTTTGTTAATAGCTTAGATTAGGAACAATTGGTGTTATTTTCAACTTTGTTAGTAGTTTAGATTAGGAACATTGGGTGCTATTTTTAACTTTGTTAGTCTGATTTCTGATTTTTTTTAGAATTATCAAGTCCTCCATTCAGATGTAAATGCTCAAACAGGAGTCTTTTCTGTGAAAATCGACATTTCACCATTGTCCCGAAACCCTTACCAACCAACTTGGTTGAACTGTAAGTAAATCTAAGTTTCTTAGACATGCGAATAAAACACGAGTTTTATAACATATTTAATCAAATGTTTTGTTTCTTTGTTTTGGTAAAAGTCTGAGATTTGATACGCATTGACATAAACGAACAGGAATAGTTTTGTGTTTTGTACACAAATAACAAATTTTGTTGCTTAATATATGATGAATATAATATTTTCTGTCTTTTAGAGTTTTTGCTACTTGTGAAATATCGTTGTTTGTTTTAAAATCTGCTTTGTCCACCGCAAGGGATCAAACCGCGGATTGTGGCATAGTAGATCTGTAACTTACCGGTTTCTCATCGGGGTACATCTTTTTGTTGCATGTCAAATTGGTTGTGAAACAGCCCTATTGATGGCTTTATTTTATTTGAGGGGGGATACTATTCCTTTTCATCGGGAAATAAATAAACGTTTAGGATCTTTCTTAAAACGCAGAATTTTATGGGTTTTTCAAGAATACTGGAAAACCAGTGTTATAGTATTGTTATCATTTGAAGAACCTATCTGTCTATCTAGTTATTTATTCGTACTTCTTTCTATCTATATATATATATATATCAAAAAGCTAAAATTCCTGGTTCGATCTCTCGTGGTGGACAAATCACAAACATTTATTGTCTCACACCATGCATGCAGTCTTTTAATTATGGGCCCCGGCGTGGCCAGGTGGTTAACGAATAGTGGGATTGACCGTCACGTTATAACTCCCCCACGGCTGAAAGGGCGAGCATGTTTCGTGTGACGGGGATTCGCACCCGCGAGCCTCAGTCTGCGAGCCGAGCTCCCTAACCGCCTGGCCATGCTAGGCCGACACTTTTTGTGGAAAAATAGCGAATTTTTAAGAAATATTTCAAAACTTTATACGTTTTAAATGTTCGTTTAGTTTATTTTTAGTGCCCCTGGAAACATATAGCAAATAATATGTTTCAGTAGGCCTCTCAACCAATACACAAATCCCATGGCTTCAGTAGGCCTCTCAACCAATACACAAATCCCATGGCTTCAGTTAGGCCTCTCAACCAATACACAAATCCCATGGCTTCAGTTAGGCCTCTCAACCAATACACAAATCCCATGGCTAAGTTGAACTTATTTGTTTTGTTGCAGAAACGTTAGAAAAACATAAGTTATGCGTTTTTAAGCTTATCAGATTCCCAACTATTTGCGCCTCGATACCCAATCAGATTTTTTTTTTCAGATCTAACACTTATTTTTATCAACGGTTCCCTGGGGGTGGATTATACAAACGTTGTATGTCTGCTAAAATAAATTTTCTTAGCAGATTTCAATCTCTGTATTACGAGAGAAATTTTGAAGGCACAATTGCAAAGTCGACTCCGTCTTGTATTCTCCTTGTTTGATTAGTCCAAGCCCTTTCTTTGACAGAAAGATGGTAGAAAATTTATTGACGATCTTTAGCACCCCTACATTGCAGTATGCCTTCCAACTATTACAACGTTCCGAACAAACAGTTGTTGAATTATCACCAACACGCTATTATTATCAATACGATAACAGTGGCGCCCCCTTTTTTTAAACTTTATGTCGAAGGAACGAAAATAAGAGATTCGGGGATGAATTTGTCCAACATCTGTTACTTCTCTCTCAATTCTTTTAGTATTTAACTTCTGCATTTAAACAGCTTAAGTTCTTATAGCTTTGTTAAAAAATAACTTCACAGAAATATTTTTAGTTTCATGTGATTTATTCCTTCAGAGAAAAAGAACCTTGTTGTGGTAAACAGCAGAAAGAAATCCCGGTAACTAATCAAGGCTGTCATACTTAGTGCTTTTATGATTATTCACTCAAAATTCTTAAGAATTATTTAAACCATTGGGCTTGCAGATGTTAGAAGTTGTACGGTACATTGTTTGACGTGTTCTCAGCTGTGAATGAATTATAAAGTCTTATTATTCCTATTCGCACCCCAACCCCGGTGTCTCAGCGGCAAGTCTCGCAGCTTAAAACGCTAAAATTCGGGTTTTGATACCCATGGTGGCCAGAGCCCATTGTGCGCCTTTGTCCTTTTTTGTTATTTTGAACTTTTATTTGTAATATTATTGTCCATTTTGACTTTTCACTTGTAATATTATTTGTTCATTTTGACCTTTCATTTGTAGTATTAATATTGTCCGTTTCGACCTTTCATTCCTATTATTAATGTTGTCTATTTTGACCTTTCCTCGTATTATTAATATTGTCCATTTTGACCTTTCATTCCTATTATTAATGTTGTCTATTTTGACCTTTCCTCGTATTATTAATATTGTCCATTTTGACCTTTCCTCGTATCATTAATATTGTCCATTTTGACCTTTCATTCGTATTATAAATATTGTCCATTTTGACCTTTCATTCATATTACAAATATTGTTCATTTTGATTTGTCATTCGTATTATAAATATTGTCTATTTTGACCTTTCATTCATATTACAAATATTGTTCATTTTGATTTGTCATTCGTATTATAAATATTGTCTATTTTGACCTTTCATTTGTAGTATTAATATTGTCCGTTTTGACCTTTCGTTCGTATCATTAATATTGTCGATTTTGACCTTTCATTCGTATTATTAATATTGTCCATTTTGACCTTTCATCCGTCTTATAAATATTGCTCATTTTGATTTGTCATTCGTATTATAAATATTGTCTATTTTGACCTTTCATTCGTATTATTAATATTGTCCATTTGGACCTTTCATTCGTATTATTAATATTGTTCATTTTGACCGTTCATTCGTATTATTGATATTGTCGATTTTGACCTTTCAGGATATAAACATGGTCTGTTTCTATGTTTCATATTATTTGGTACTAGCAGAGACCCGTAAAACATTGCGGGGAAATTGGTAACTTTAGTGCAAGAAACTTTTTGAAATATACGATTTCTGGAATAATAAACAAGGATACTCAACACAGACACCAAAAATCTAAATGACCACTTGTCTTTATTATTAAGTACGGCCTATATTCGATAATGAGTAAAATTGACACTGTAACATTTTTTGTTTTAGTTTAGTTAGGGCTA